GATACCCAGCGCTGAAGCGGTGGTTCTGCGTTCAGGGGGACTGCCCAGGTGGTCTCTTCTCCTTGACCATTGGTGGAAATTGCTAGAGTTCTGTGGCTACTTTGTGAAAAGAATTCTTCTGTGATTGGAATGGCAGCCAGGGAGCCTGCACTGGGACTGTACCGGGTCTGCACCGGGAATGCAGCTGTAGGAATGCCCTTATCTCAGCAGCCAACAGGAAGTGATGAAATGTGCTGGGGGAGCTCTGCTGGAGGCGGAGGTCAGCGGCCAGCAGGGTCGGAAGGAGGCAGGTACAGCCAGGTCTGACCGCACGGCGAGTGTGCTGTCTGGGTGCGTTCCTTCAAGGCAGCCTTCTGTGAAGGGAGGGTTTTCACTGGTCATCTTCGGAGTGTGTGGCTTAACAGCAGTCTCTCCTAGTTTAGAGCTTCTTGACGGAAGTGCTCAGCCAGCTCCCTGTTAACCAGGCTGGAATGTTTTGTCCCGGACCTTGGGAGAGCGTCAGTGAGTGCGGGGTTTTCTTGGTGAGTAGATTTTGGCCTAAGCAAGGGAAGGTGGGCACCTTATCATTTTTACCTGGTTTTAGAGCATCTCTGTAAGCTTTCTTCCAAAATAGAATGACTCTGAAACTTCGTCTTGGTATTTTTTAGGTCAATTTTGGGTACCTCTAGCTGTATTTTTTTCTTTCCAGTCAGCTAAACGAGTTAATTGTTAATAGAGGGTTTTTTTCTCCTGCCTTAAGACATGTTTATTACTTGCTGCTCTTTCCTTTCTTAACAACCAGATTTAACCTGCTGACAGGTAAATGGGACTTGGAGAGAAAAGGAACAATGACCTTGCCAGCTGACCGTGACCACTGGTTCCCGGCGGGTCTCGGGCTCCCCGAATTAGCGTGCAGCAGCGCCAGGCCCCTTCCTGCGCCCCTGCCCTGTCAGCTGGTCTTCCGCGGAGCGCTGCTGCAGGCCCTCTGCTTACACCCTGTGGGAGAGTAGAGTGAACACTTTCATTGTTGAGTAACTGACTAGGCTGACGTAGGTTTTTAATTGTTTCTTTTTGCAAGTCATATTCTGGGATTGAAAAATCATAGCTCCTCCTTTTATTTGTGTAGTGCTATACTTTTAATTAGAAGCTTGCTTTTAATTCTGATCCTTAAGTGGCCTGTCACTGTCTTACTGGATTAGCTATTGCTGTGAACACAGCAGTGTCCTCTCGGAAGATGCCATGCTGATGTGGTCTGTGCCACACTGGGACACATGCTTCTAGTTTGGTTACCCACCGTGGTTTGTGTGTGTCTGATACTTAGGGTCACGTGACATTTCTAGGAACCTCTAAGGACCTTAGTTGTGTCTGTCAGGTTTGTCTTTGTTCATTTAACTCTGTTCTCAGATCTCTTCCTGATAATGTAATCTAACTGAATTCTAGATGGACTTTATTTTTTTTTTTAATTTTATTTAAGGAGAAAAGAAAAAAAAAAAGCAGGGAAAGGGTACAAGTTATACAGATTTACAGAAAAAAAATGAACAGTAGGAAATCACTAGTTAATGGATTACATATTGTCATCTTAGAAATAATTGTTCAAGTCACAAAATTAAAGCTTGTAAAGTGGACATTCCATCTAGATGGACTTTAAATGCTGCATTCTTATTTCTTCAAAGCATGTCTCACAGATGGAAGAGTATATCAGTGTTGTAGTCAGGGGTTTTGGGGAGAACAGTTTGAATCAGGACACAGAATTTATAATACTATTCATGAGTCACCCAGAGTTTTAACACAAGAAAGTGCAGGAAATCTGTCCAAAGCACTAAAGACCTGTGATACTCAACCACGGGCTTGGATCCCACAGCAGTGTCACACATGAGTCCAGCTGAAAACCTGGAGCCCACGATAGTGCCTCCCGGAGTCTAGTGGTCTAGAACCCACGAGAAGGACTCATGCCAGTCTATTTTATGGCTCCGTGCTGGGTGAAGGAGCTGTGCTTGGTAGGTTGAGGCTTCTATGCTGGAGCCAAGAAGTCATACTCAAAATAAGAACCAGGGCTACCCTGAAAAGTACCACAGCCACTCTCAGTGACATGGAGGTCCCAAGCTCCTCCAACAGCAAGCACAGTCGAGTACATGCCAGAAAGCCAGCATGGCGGTTCATCTTGGAGATGAAACAGCACAGGTCTTGCCCTCAGGAACCAGGACGTGATGCTCGATGTAAGACCAGAGCTCCCCCAAAGTGAACCACAGCCACTCTCACCAGCAAGATCCCGAGCTCCTCTGATGACAATGAGCGAACTCACACTGGGGAAGCTGGTCATGACAAGCTCCTTCAGGAGAACCAGCGGCTCAAACAGCAACACTTAGAGAACCCCGCAGCGCCCCACTTGTCTCCATGTCTCTGCTTACGCTGGCAGCTTTCCTCAGGTGGCCGTCTATGCTTAGCACCATGCTGATGTCATTCAGTGGCATGAAGGTGACCACCAGTTTTTAATCCATAACAACCAATAAGTTAAAAATATGCCTCCATTTTGTTATTTTTCTTTTCTTTTTATTTAGTGTCCTTCAACTATTTTGCCCACCCACGTAAGTCTGTTACATATTTGGTGGCATAAATGAAAAAGGTGGGAGCACGGTACTTAGTTGCAGTGGCTCTTGGCGTAAACATGCCTACTCTTCCACATTTTAACAAAGGAATTGAGCCTGAGAAGCTCAGTGACTGATTCAGGGTCACACAGCTTGTTAGCAGAGGGAGTCTAGGACCCAAGTGTCCTGTCTTCTGGGTCATTACCCTTCCATGACTGTGATTTGCTTTCTCTGCATTATTCTCTCACGACTAGTAGCTGAGAGTGGCTTCTTTTTTCTGATGAGTGTCTTCTTCAGACACTGAGCTTTTATTCAGTAATAAGTTCCCCGTAAGTACTGCGTGCTATAAGGTATGTAGGAAGTACTAATATATAATTATGTATAATGGCACACATTGTAAGTGCAAAGAGCATTGACATTTCCATACCGAAGAGATGGTTTTTCTTAAAAATAATGTTCTATTTTATGGTTTTTCCTACTTCTCTCCTAAATGGGGTTCACAGTGCAGTGCCCCTCATTCTGTAATTATAATAAGATCCTAGCTTGTAGAAGGCAGGTACTAGGTTTTTATTTAATGTAAAAGGAAGACTCAGAAGGGAACGTCAGCCTCCGCTTCTCGGCATTCCGCGTCCCACTTCTTACGAGGGAAGAGGGTGTCTCTTAACATCTTGAGGTGGACTGATGCGGTTTTATAATGTGAGGGGTTTAAAATAATGCACTGTAATGTAAATGAAGAAGGAAGTGACATTTCACAAAAGGGAATTTACTCATAACTTTCCAGAACCTTTACAAATCATCTCTGTTGGGATATAGCTTAATGGTAGGGTATTTATTTGGCTTGTGTGTGGGGTTCAGTTCCTAGTACCAGCAAAAAGGAAGTCTTTGCTAAAAATCGAATTTAAATCCTTCTGAAATTCAAATATAAATAGAGCTGTTCTGGAGCAGTGGGCCACTCCTCTTAGAACCCTGTGCAGCTCCCAAGTCTGTTCAGAGCCACCCCTGTGCCCTCAGAGGGTCCCAGCACTTACTCATGTTTTCTGAAGTTGCTTTTTTTTTTTTTTGTATCCTTTAGAGCACTTTTTCCTCCCTCTATTTATTGCAACAAAATTTACACATTTTGGATTTTATTTTATTTTATTTGTCTTTTTTCATTTTTATCGGTACCAGGGATCGAACTCACGACCGCCTGCTTGCAAGGCAGGTGCTTATGCCGCTGAGCTAAATCCCCAGCCCCTCATTTTGGGTTTTATTACTCCTTAGTTCTTATTACTTTTTTTTTTTTTTGGAAGAGAATAAAATCAAATATGACAAAACAAAGCTGTCAGTCAAAACCAAGGATAGACATAGCACATGATGTAAAAACAGAGTATAAGATTATCAACAATGGTTACCATAATGCTTCTTGCTTCCTTAAGTTTTCTGAAGTATTTAGACTGTGTTCCTTGAAGAATTGTGAACACGCTCCAGGAATACAGGCATTTTCATAAATGGCCATGAGGGGTAAAGGGCAGCCCTGGGGCTGCTGTTGGCTCAGAAATCTCTGAGAACTGATGCTGTGGTGTTTGAAGCTCTTCTCACTCCATCCCTGCCTGGGGCCCTTCTGGGCTCACCCCAGATGAGGGTCTAGTGGTGGTCTCAGAAAGCCCTCCGTGACCCTGGTACCCTAGGCCTTAGGGCCAGGTCGAGAGGAGAGTGCGTGGGAGTGGGAGGTAACAGGGCAAGACAAGGCCACTGATTTGAATGAATGAACAAATGAATTCAGTGTTCTCCTTTCTGTGGGGAATTTCCCCCCAGTGCTAAAGCTGGAACCCAGAACCTAACACACACTGGAAAGTTTGCTGCTGAGCAGTGCCCCTGGCTCAAGGTTACTTTTGAAGGACAGTAGTCATGTGTCACTAAACACCTTTGTACATGTATCACAGTTCTGTCTTGATGGCAGCTGATCAAGTAGGTATCTGATGTCTCGTCCAGCCCTGGGAATCTGGTGCATTTTTCTGGTCATATAGGAATCTTTATGTGGGCTTGTGAAGCATATTTCTCCATTTGAGAGAACTGAAAGACTGTAACAATGCGTGTTCTGAATTTGAAATATGTGCCAGTGGTCACCACAGTGGTGCAGGGTTTAAGTGGGTGGTGAAGTTGGGGTTGTGAGTTTCATGCTCAGGCTTGTTCCTTATCATGATTTGCTTTAGTGGAATCCTTCAGGGAGATCAGAGAGGAGTAATTTTCTGAGAAATATTTACTTGACAAGATGGTGTTGATGTAATTAATATTGCTAGTTCGAAATTTGAACATCGATCTTCTCAATTTGGAAATCTCTCGTTGATTCTTAAAGGTCCTAACATGTCGGTATGTTAGTTTAAGAAAATAAATGAAGCACACAGCAACTTGGGGATGGTAGTGATTTTTTTTTTATTGTTCTTTTCTAATTTGCAGTGATAAAAAGGACAGTGCAGGAAGCACACCAGTCTCTGCTGGCGTCGCAGGCCGAAACGGTTGGTTGTTTCCCACCTGTGGTCCCTGAGATCCACTGAGATCCTGGTAAGGCCACAGGCTCTGCGGGAAAGTAGCAGGATGCCGTCAGAGAGAAAGCTTTGTGTCTGTCAGTGCTGCGCTATGAACTGCCGGGGTGGAAAGTGTGAACGCGGGTGCAGACGTTATCATGATGAAGGTTCACAAACCACAATTATCCAAGCACCTCACTGCTTTCACCAATATGTGCAGACCCCGAGTGCACTGTGTTTCTTTCCAGGCCTCCTTTAGGTCAGTTGTAGAGGGACAGTGTCCCTCGCCGCTGCTTGGTGGGGTTGATCCGCTCGTATTCATATGCATGTATATGTCACTCATATCAGGCACTGAGCTGGACCCTGGGACCTGTAGATAGTGGCGTTTGAGTTCCTGCTCTTGAAACGTCACAGACCAGTGGAGTAGAGACTTGTATACAGGAGGATCTTATTCTGCTGAGAAGACTGGGGGAGCTCAGGGATCAGGGAAGAAGCCACAGTGTGCTGCAGAGCTAGAGAGAGGCCCGAAAGAGAGGATTTGGCGTGGGTGGGTTCTGAGTGTCTGTTTTGGGTAGCCAGGTCGAGGGGGTTCAAGGCTGTGTTCCCTGCACTTGGTTCCAAGGGAGCTGACCCTGGGCTTTGGTCTTGGCCCTCCCGTGGACCCTGGATAAGGCCCAACCTCCTTATTCGGTCTGGAAGTCAAGGCCCTCCGACCCAGTGGTTCCTCTTTCACCTCCGCTTATTCAGCGGGCTTTGACCCTCCCATTCCTGTCTAGTGCTTACTGCTCTCTGAGGGTGCCCCCATCTGTAGAGTTTCCTTCTGTCAGCACAGCCTTCAGAATTCCCATTTTTGTAGAGGTTCTTTGGGTGATGGATTGTGTTAGTGTCTCGAAGGCCTAGCCCTTAGTTCTTACAAGTCGGCCTTGCTGGGCCTCGAGTTCTCGGTGGGCAGTCACCGCGCGGCATGTGGGATGTGTTGCACTGGTCTCTTCTGGCCATCACTGTTGTGGCTCTTGCACTGTGATGCTTGGAAGCCGGTTCCTTTTCCTGCCTGGTTTGCTTTCGTTGTCTTTTGGTCCTTGAGGTTCTGTACAGTAAAACTTGGTACAGTTTTTTCTTTTCAAAATACCATTTAGGCTCCTTGGGATTACAGGCACACACCACCACGCCTGATCACGCTTGGCGCTAATGCAGTGCCTTGGCATCCCAAAGGCCTTTGTTTGAGTTTGTTGAAAGAAAGAGACAAGATTTTGATATAGAGCCTTCTAGAGGTTGGTTAGTCACTCACTATAAACACTTAAATGAGCAGCTTGAGCTGTCCTACAAACCCTGTTTGCACAGGTGGCCAGTGGGCTGGTGGTGTTTCCAGCAGTGGTAGCTAAGCCTTTCCCAGCAGTTTCCCAGCCACCTTGGTGCAGGCTGCAGTGTACTGCGCTCTTGAACCATTTCCTCATCCAGACTCCTCTTGAATTTGTCCCTGCCCACCAGACCTGATCTTAACTTTCCTCGCACCCTCCACCTCCAGCTCTTCCATGCAGGGCTTGTCTCACTCCTAGCCCCAGCACTTGGCAAGGTGTCTGGCATTCAGAAAGTATGTTTCTAGGCCAGGTGTGGTGGTGTGTGCCTGTAATTCCAGTGCTTGGGAGGCTAAGGCCGGAGGACTGCAGTGAGTTTGAGGCCAGCGTGGGCTACAAAGTGAATTCAAGGCCAGCCTGAGCTGCATAGTGAGACCTTGTCTCAAAAAGACCAAAACACAAAACAAAATAAACTAATATGTGTGTGTGTGTGTGTGTGTGTGTGTTAGAACATTGGGAATGTTTATGTATGTGTGTGTATGGTACATTTAATGATAGAACCTGTTTTTTGCCTAGCATCATTTTCCTCAGCTTTTCAGAATTTTATTGAAAATATTTGAACATTTGGGACACTGGCTATTCTTGAATAAAACCGACAAGTACTTTATTAAGAGTAGGGAAAGAGAAAAAGAAAGAGTATAAATGAAGTTAAGACAGAATATCTTTTTGGTAAAATTTGGTTTGCTGGGTATGGTGCTGCACTCCTATAATCCCAGTGCTTGGGAGGTTGAGGTAGGAGGATTGTTGCGAGTTCAAGACCAGCCTGGGCTACAAAATGGGCCCAAGGCCAGCCTGAACTACATAGCGAGATCCTGTCTCAAAAAGACAAAAACAAAAACAAAATTTTGGTTAGGTGTGTGGTAATTAGGTATTTTGTCATAAACGGAAATGTTGTCACCTTTTCTCTTATAAAAAATGGTTGTTAGATATGCCTATTGGGCAGGGAACTCCTGAAAACCATATGAGACCTCCTAATAAGGGTTTGTTTTGTGCTCCTGGAATTTCCAGGGCGTGGCAGTCGTGCTCAGATGACATCCTCCCCTGGGGCTGCAGGGCCAGGTGGCTGCTGGAGGTACCTTGAGGACCCAGGGGTCCAGAGGAACAGCCTGACGGGTGTTTGCTGTGCACCCCTGCGTTCCTCCTCACTGCTCCCTGCTGTGGTCAGCCGCATTTACCCGTCTTCAGATGAGAAAGGCACCACTAAAAGCATGCCTTGAGTTGGTAAAATTGTCTTACACATTTTGTGTGTTTTTTAGCTGTTAGTCTGGCTGCTAATCTGTATGGATGATAATTAACTTTATTTGGACTCACAGATGAACTGATGCTGGAATAAATAAATGTGCGGGGAAGAGGGAAGGGTTGGTAAGGGTTAGGAACCCATGTTAGTGCCCCACAGTGAATGAAATCATTATGTACTGAAACACATACTAATGAAACTGTAAAAGGCGTGAGGCGTAGAGGGGATATGTGTACCTGTCACAGCCCTCATAGGGAGTTCAGACTCTTCTATTTTGCTTACTTGGGAGAAATTTTGCTATTTTAGGCTTTTTTTTTTTTTTTTTTAGCTCATTTGTTTCAGATGGTTTCTGAACAAGTACCTTCCCTTTCCTTTTTTCCAAATTACTAGATACTTCCTGTTACTCGTAAAGTCAAGTCACTGTCCAGTTAGAGCACAGCTTTCAGCCGGTCACGCAGGTCAGAGCTGGCCCCGCACACGAAAGTAGAGTGCTTGGACTGTGCTGGTATAGGATGGAGTGGTTTCCCGAACAGCCGGTACCTCTGGAGTGCAGACATGCCTACAGAGTCCTGCCAGCTAAATCCTCCTGTGGCCTGCATGAGTTTTTAAACTTCAGAGGTCCATACTCATGAGGTGGTACTGCTGGAGCAAGATTTCAGCATTTCCTTCCCAGAAGCCTCTGCCGCGCGGGGCATCACACTGGTCTTCCTAGCATTCTCCAGCTTCCTCCTCTAGGCTCTGGACTGGGTGTGCTACTTTTTTATTGCTGGGACCTGGGTGGGACAGAGGCCTCCCGTGATGGCTTGAGTAACTCAGGCTGTGTCTGACTTGTATTCTGCCATGAGTGCATTCTCTGTCCACCTCTAATAAAAGTCACAGCAGCTGCCTGCAGCTGGATCTCTAGGACTGGCCTGCCCCAGTGCTGTACAGGTTTGTGCTACCCACACTTCTTTAGCTGATGAATTCCCGGGGACTTGTCAGCACCAGTTCAGATCCTCTGGGTCCCCAGAGTGCTGTGTTGGAGGGAGTTGCTCAAGGCCCTGTTTACCTTTGCTGAGGGACTGTCTCAGACAAGGGCACCTGGCTGCTTCGGCTCAGGAGCTGGCCACAGGGGGCCTCACCTGTCCCCAGCTGCTTAGGGAGGACCCCTGACCCAGGTGCCCTGCTAGGTCCCAGCTGGTTGCCATTTGACCTGCGCAGCCTCTAAGGAGATTGGATTCCTTTTTGTAGTTAAACTGCCTTAGCTGTACCCTTTTAAGGATTTTGCCAGAGGCAGCTGAACCATGGAAGGTCTTATCTCCAGAAGAAGCGAAGTGCAATTTCAGAGACCTGCTAGATTTGTGTGCCCCTGGCCATGTTTTGTAAGGTGCTCTCCTGCTGTCTTATTTGCAGTGAGCAGCTTTCACCCCACAGGTAGGGCTGCAGCCGCCTAGAGGATTCTGCTCCTTCAGACACTGGGGTAGACAAACTGCTGTCCATCCGTCCCATACAGAGGACCACAGAGGCTAGCAATGCCCTTTTGTCCAGCCCAGAGAACTGCTGCCCCGACCAGCACTTCTCTGGCGCTCTCCTTTCTGCCTCATGCCTACCCCCATTGTCTAGCTGGGACAAAGGACAACCTCCTGAACCATTTTAAATGTATTTTTTTCCTTCGGCTTTTTTTTGCCAGAAGGACTTCTCTCACTCATCCGGACCTGCATGACTTTTCTTAGGGGAGAGGAAAAGAGCATCTCTTGAATGGTAAAGCTTGCAGTTTAAGGGCGAGATACGCCCCACTGCACAGGTGCTTCTGGCAGGGAAGAACTCTTCTGGTCATGACTGATTTCTTAGAACTGTCTCTGGCAGTGCCCTCAGAGACTGGCACAGAGGGGAGCGGGGCCACATGAGGAATGCAGGGACGGAGGTGCAACATGGGCACCCACACCGACGGCCCTGTCACAGTCCTCTCTTGGTTGGTGGCCTCTGCTGCTTGTCGTACACTGCAGTTAGGATGTGAGATACCCTGGTGTGCACAGGATGCCACTTCAGTCTTTGGTGAGCAGCTTTGTAGGTCGGGGTGCGGCAGGGCTCCGGGGTGTGTTTGGGTGTTGGTAAATCAGTGAGCCGGCTCTTCAGCCCTCGTGCGGGCAGGAGCCAGTGTCAGACCTTACATTTGTAGTAGACAGAAGAAGCACAGCGGTCAGATGAGCTTCATCGAGGTAGAGAGGCTTCCCTGAGATTTTGGTGACCACATCATGATGCTTTTTCATATTCAGAACAGTGGAAAATAAAATCCAGACCCTTTGCCGACTTGTCCAGCCCCAAACTGTGGAGAAGGGAGGCAGGGTGAGCGGACACTGTGAAGGCAGCGCTTTCCCCACCTGGACACAGGAACGGGAGCAGGTGTGCGTGCATCAGCTTCTTCCTGCCGCCCCTTCTCTTCCTCCTCCACTGGCGCACTGGTGC